TTTGCTTTGCTATCGTAATAGTTAAGGAAATAAATCTTCTTATTACCTTGCCTCAATGCTCTACTTCTTTAATTAAGTTTTTACCCAAAATTTTATCAATTAACATGTCTTTTTTAAATCTATTTTTCAGATCCATCCACTTGCTGCAGCAGTCAAAACAATCAAGGATTTTTTCGTGTCTTTAAAATTCTTGAAATATGGTGTCATCAACACCAGTGAGCCAACGTAATAGGATTTGAACAAAAAAGTTGACAACAAAAACAAAAAACTCTGTTTGCTTTTTTTGAATAAACTAACCACGCTCTATGATTTTTTAAACCATTGTCCATGATGCGGTAAAAATAATGATTTGAAAAAATCAAATTATCAACATTTCTTGGATAGTTATTAGAATTTTCTTTAAAACTGCATCTAGTATGAAATCTTTGTTTAAACTTTCCTGCCAATCGCTAATATCATCAAAGCATTCTGAAGTAGCAGCAGTTTCAATCAAACTTTCAATCATTTGAATAGTTTCAATTGAATTAGTTGATTTGATTTCATTTCCAGAATCAACCAGATCTTGAATTATTGGACTTTCTTTGTCAATTTTATCATGATGAAATGATAATTTTTGAAATTTTTCTAAAGATGTTTGATTTGATTTCAATTGTTTGAATTTTCGTAGGCGTTTTTATTTTAACTCTTAACCTGAAAGTATTATTCTCCATTATTTAAAAAAAAAAAAAAAGAAGAAATAAAATAATTTTACAAAAATATATAATTATAATAATATATTTATTTCAACAAGCCTATCCAGGAAAGGCGTGCGGTTTTTCGTCTCATACAACCACGAAAACGTTTTTCAAGTTAGAGAACATGATCACAGCCGTTTGCGCAAGTTTTATTGTAAGCGTTGCTGAAAAATTGTTTTAAATATAATAACTACATAAGAAATTAAAGTTAACTTAAATAGAAAACAATAATAATAGTTTAAATAATTTGTGTGTAGTTAAAAAAAAAAAAAAAAAACGGTTTTAGGCGTTAAAAAGGATGACTTTTCCATATTTTATGTGTTTTTTTTTTTTTAAAAGAAGAAAGAAAAAAAATCTTTATCGTCATCTGTTTGTAAAATATATTTGTATAATTATGTTACAAGTATATATCAAAGATTAGATTATATGATTGCGATTCGCAAACTCTGGTAAAATACTTGTCTTTAAAATTTTAGTTTATGCAAAGCAGTGTACTTTGTTTACAAGGAGCAAATTATTAAAAGTTTGCTAGAGAGAAAGTTACAAAAAACAAAAACAAAAACAATAAACTTACGACTACAAAAGCAATAACACTTTAGTCACGAACTGCATTATAAAAGTAATACAACTATAATAATGTTATTAAATTTATAAAGCACTTATTACTTTTAAGGTTCATTCTTTGTTCAAACAACATTATTAATTCTAAACATTTATATGAGTAGAAAAGCATCTAGAAAAATAAAGCGGATATTAAAATATTATTAAAAATTTCAGGAACTTTTACAGATCACTTAAACAAGGTTATAAAAGAGTATTTTATAAAAAGTATAGCATTATGAAAAATGTTACATTAAAAAAAGCGCTTTAATTTTAAAATCAACCAATAAAAAATTTCTATTGGTTAATTTTAAAATTAAAGCGCATTTTTACGATCCATTAGTAACCGTTTTCATAATGACTTTTAATATGTTACGTTTTTATAAAGTTGTTTGTCACATTTTTTATAAGTTATTTAAGTTTTAACTATTATTTGAACATCCACTTTATACTTCTAGATATTTTTCTACTTCAATTAAATTTGGGATTACTTATGTTGCTTGAACAAGGAAGGAATTTTTTAAAGTTATAAGTGCGTTATAAAGGTAATAACACTATTATAGTGTTATTACTTTTGTAATGCAGTTAGTGACAAGAGTGTTATTACTTTTGTAATCGTAAGTTTATTGTTTAATTTTTTCGCTTACAAATTTAAGTTGATTCGGTCCTTAAAAACAAGGAGCACGGTTTTGTATAAACTAAAATTTTGAATACTAGATATTTTTTCAGATTATGCGTTTCGCATGCGCCTCATTCAACCCTTGTTATTGCATTATTATTGTTGTTACATTAAAATTATACAAATATATTTTACAAACACTTTGCAATTAAAATTTTTGCTATCCTCCATATTCAAAGATTTTTGGATTTTTGCTATCCTCCATATTCAATGGATTTTTGCTTTGAAAATATTCAAAGCAAAAATCCATTTTTGTTTTGAATATTTTCCTTTGCTACAATGAGTTCCAGAACTCAATTGCATAGCTTAACTTTTAAAGATTTTTTTTAAGAATTATATTTTTTAACACAATAATTTTTACTTTTTTTTTTTTGTTTTGCATTGAGCTCTCTAAATTAAGTTCATTCCGATTGCATAAACCTATGACATAACATTTCAAATAAACTATGAGAAAAGGGTGTTAAGCGGTTTGGTTTTTAAACTGCAA